ATCTCTAAGTTTTGAAATTCATCCAAATGATCTCAAATTTAAATATGTTATACAACATACCATGACATGATTTAAAAACATGACACAAGTGAATTCCATGCAATGAATGGCCATGAGTATTAAACTTTAATACTAGAAAAATAATAAATGATAGATTTCAAAACCTAACCAAATATTCTAGATTTAATATATGTGAAACCATATAGCATGCATATCAAGAATGTCAAGTCGGAATTCCAATGGGGTGAATAGTACACCCGGAATAAATTAATTAATCTAATTAATTAAATATTACTAGATTTCAAAACTTCTCCGATTACTCTCAATTTAACCTATGTTGAAGAACATGCTAGGGCCTAATATAATATGCTAACACACATCGATTTCAAGCTAGTTAAGGCCACATGAATTAATACTTTATTCTCGTAAAATATTAAATAAAATCTTCGTTACTTGTCCAATTTCTCTGAATTTAATATATGTTAATCAACATATCAAGGGGTAATATTCTATCATGCAACATGATTAAACAAAGCTATGGATAACCGGAAAAATTAAATCCTTCACAAGAAAATTAAATAATAAAATCTCTAGATTTCATATTTAAGCATGTAAATAAATTGTATAAGCATCAATAGCATGTTATATAACAATAATTAAACCCATAACACCCCCTACCTCAATTTGAGATGAAAACCTCAAAGGCCCACCGAAAAAAAAGTGTTCTGAATCCGCCGAAACCGAAGGGTTTTGTCGGGGACAACACGATCTACATGAATCCGAAGGAAGCCCCATGAAAGTCACAACTTGACCTTAAAACTAAACTCAAGAAATGGTCAAAAATGAATTCTAATAAGGGGGAATGGTAGAACACGTCGAGGGGAACAAAAATTGTGAAGGCCGAAGACTTTTTACTTAGGAAAAGTAAATCAAAGGAGGAGAGAGAATGTGGCAGATCCATGGGCAACCATGGCTGCTTCAGGTCATGCAAGGACAGTGGGGGAGATGAAAAATAAAATATTTCACCCCCCTTTTATAGAAATCTCAAAAAGTGCCCCAACGGGCCCCGCCGGGTCCGGAAAAGTGGAATTTGAGGAAACGCGCTCAAATGGCAAAACTCCGTGAACAAAAAAGATTCAAAATGAGAAAATATGAACAATGAAAGAAACAGCATCAAAAATTAAGTCCCAAGCAGAAAGTTATGCCCCGAACAAGTTCGGCGGCAACTAAGTCCTGAAACTCTGAAACTGGAGAAAAACGACCAAAAGGAAATTCTATGAATTTACGAGTCAACAAAAAGTGAAAATGAATCCCGTACAAGGATCCAGGCTCCAGAAGCGATATTTTGTAATAACTTTCGTTAATTGTACAATGGCCCCTACAAAAAGGGTTAACTGTTAAACTGCCCCAGAATGAAAATATCTTCAAAAAGGGTTAACTACAAAAAGATATTTTCTTAGATACCCCTGAAATAAAATATCTTCAAAAGATATTTATGAAAAATACCCCAAGAAAAGAAAAAGATTCTGAAGAATTGTGCATCCACGCCCCTATGGACACCGGGAGCAACCAGAGTACTTTCTTGCAAAAGTGAAGATACGTATTTCAAGGAAACCACTCAAGATGAAGGCACGTGAAGTCAAGAACCAACTCCGAGCATGAGAAGTGAGGCTGTGCCAACAATGTGACAAACGGGGAAAAGACAAAATAGGGAAAAAGACGAAACAGGGAAAAGGACGAAAGGCGCATAGTGTCCGAAAAGTGAAAATGCGAAAATGACTCGGTTCTCAAAGAAAGTTGTCAATTCATATAAAAGAGTCTCAGAAACCAATTCCGAGCACTCGAGATGACACTAAGCGACACGAAACAAAGCTCAAAAAAGAAAATTAAATGAAAAAAATTTATTCGTAAAATTTCAAGAAAAAGGAAATGGAGGCAAATGACCGGGTCGTTACAATTTGAGTTTGAGCTTGATTGTAAGATGGACGGGATTCCTTGTCTGGGGTCTTGTGTATCCCTTAAAGGATAGGTCAGGATTGGATGTTGTCATGTTCAGTGGTCTTCTGACCATTCTTCTTTCGGGCTCTGAAGCCTTACGTAGCTGTGTAGAGCGAACCAGTGTTGGTTTTGAGTCGGGTGTAGAATCTAGCTGGTCTTGTGTTATGATGTTGTGAGTGATGAGTATCCTCATAGGGTGGTGAGCATTGTGTTTTAGTGGCAGTGGTGTGTGATTGCCTATTGACGTCCAGTGTCAAAGGCTTAGTCTTACGGTTTTGTGAGGTGCTTCTCGGGAAGGTCTGTGGTTGTGAACCTCTTTCTTTAAGGAGGGTAGATTTCGAGGACGAAATTATTTTAATGAGGGTAGAATGTAATGTTTTCGATTTTTACCATTTTCTATTTTTTAGAATTTTTTTCAATTTTTCAGGGTTACTTCCATCTTGTCTCGTTTTGCGTGCCGGACACATTGGGGTGTGCTGAGTGTGTTTGAGAGTTGGTTGAGGCATTTCCTTGAGTTTAAGACTCTTGGAAATGCATTGGTTGCAATTTCATCATTTTTTTGTTTTTCGGGCCGGAATGTTCCAGGTAGGACCCGCTACCGGAGTTGTTGAGTACAGGGATTATTTTTTCGGGTCCATTGCATATCATGCATTATTATTTTATGTATTTTATGTGACTGTGTTTAAACATGTGTTGTGGTAGGTTTACTGTATGTACATATATATATATACATATACATATATATATAATGTTTAATGTTTAAATGATATTTAGGATCAGTGGGACCCACCATTACTTTTTCAATAAAATGGCCATGAAGCCATTTCATCTTATCAGTCATATCTCTCTCTCTCTCTCTCTCTTTCTCTGACGCAGCTTCTCCCTCTTCCTCTGTATTGTTGAGTTTTAGACTTTGCCACAGAAGGCGAAGTCGACGAGCACGACGAGGACTTCGTATTGATCAGAGCCGATCCTTGTTTGGAGCATCTTTGGATTTCGGTTTTGGGCACAAATTTGGGGTTTTCTTCTATATTTGAGGTAGGGGTGTTGTAATCTACAACTTCTTTGGTCCTTCGTGAATTTTTCCCTCTAATTTTGATCCTAAGCATGCTAAATTTTGGTTACCTTGTTTACAATTGTTGTGGTTGTATGTAATCAAGATGATTAATGTGTTCTATATGTTAATTGTGGTGAAGAAACGTGTTTAGTATTGACATGTTGTATGCTTTATGATTTTCATTTGCCATGAAAATTGATGTTGTTGTTGTGAAAATAAATGTTTAGAACTTCATCCCAAAACATGATTGTGATGTAGATGGAACGTGTGAAATTTCATTGTTGAATTGGCATTGAAAGAATGAAGCATTCATGCATTCATTGGGAAAGAAAAAGGGGAAATGTTTTGAAAGGCAAATGAAATTGTTTTGGGAAAATGTTTTTGAAAAGTATTTGTGAAAACCCGGGTGCTTAGGAATTGCCTAGTGGTCTGTGGCATTAGTGTGGTCTAGAGAGGTTAAGGAGAGACCCTAGCAAGGTTGAGCTACCTAGGCCTAAACGACGCCTTGGAGTTGCCATGTGGTCGGGGATAGCTAGACAATCCTCGTCTAGTGACGCTATGAAGTTGCCATGGGTCAGACTGCACTAATAGTTTGAAAAGGTGAAACGGTATTGTTTCGGAAACGGGGAGCGACATTGCATGACATTGCCATATATTGTGTATTTGGTGATCAGATGACTGATATATATTCCTGCTATAGTTGTTTTTATTTTACTTACTTCATGAGACATGATCCCGTTTACTTGTACTCTATTCTTTGTGTGGATTCACGGGGTCATAAGAGGTGTGTCTTAAACACTTTCTACTGAGCAGTTGGCTCACCCCATCATATTGTTACATTTTTTTTAGGTCACAGAAAGAAAGTGGCGGACGACGCTCCTCCACAAGTTTGAATGGGGTTAGTGGACTGTTTTAACATCTTTTATATTAGTGATCTCACTTTTTCTGTATAGCTTTGGGATGGCGCGTATATTATGTATCGACCTTGGAATTAACTATAGTGTCCTTAGATGACCTCGGGTTCGGGTAAGAACATGGTAAACGATTCGGACCCCCGGGTTCGGGTCGTTACAACATTAGAGTAAAATTCTAACTAGAGATATATAGGAAACTATACTGGAAAATCACAAGAGCTAGGCTCTTAATTTTGTCTTCTCAGGAGAAGGTTCTCTTCCCAAACTCTTGAAGAAAATGTTCTCTTTTCCCTCTACTGATATCTAAAGCATTACCTACGGTAAGAAAATCATTGTATTAGTTTCTCTTTAATTACATAATGCTATTGCTTTTTTAACTCAGAGCTCTCGGCTTTTAGTCATTATAATTAGTTAGGTAAAAAAGGACTAGTCAGCAACGACACTTTTGCCATTTTGAGTTTTCAAATTTAAATGTGTGATCTTCACGTCACAATGAAGCAACTTTAGCACCAAGTCGATTGAAGCAACTTCAGCGCCAAGCCCACCGTCAAATCCAATAATTTAGCTTGATATAGTTGGCATGTTGCAACTAGGTTTTGATTTAATGATGGTAAAATTATTGGCTTTAGTTCTTCTTCATGGGCGCATAATGGATAAATGTCTCGTTAACAAGCAGTAACCACATGTCATGAGGAGAATAGTTGTGGGAACAGATATATATATATATATATATAGTTGTGACTTAATCAAGTATATAAAGAAAGGAGATAGTATTTGCCGTTTTGGGTGGGTGTTGATTGAGTGATGGGATTTTTCGTATTTAATGACAACAATATACATAATTCTTTTTTTCTTTTTCGTTTTTTTATTATCCTGGCAATGGGTTAGAGGGTTAATAGAGAAGGGAGTCGACCTCAAGACCATCGGTGGGGGCAACTAAAGTGCCTGGCCCTTTCCACTCGGGCATCACCACCAACGCCTTAGAAAAGTTATTTCGAAAAATAATAGAAGTTAAGTGAGTCTCAGAGAAGTTACTTCGAATAATAATACATTAGAAAATTTCAAGAATATTTAAATTACAGGATTACTATATGATGTAAAATACAGAGCCATATACTTCAGATATAAGTATATACAGACAGATTATTATCATATACAAGTACATCCGAAAAAATGTCTATGGTTCCATGTACATTTAATGGGTCCTTGACATAAAGACTACGAGACCTGTTTCAGTTATGCACAAGAATATAATATTACAACAAATTATCTCCTCTTAGGCAGATGTCAGACCTTCAGGGAGAGAGAGGTGGTCCCGGTCAGGTGAGAGAAACCTGCGGCAAGCATGCATTACAGCTGAATGGAAACCATTTGGGTTGTCTATAAATACAAAGTGGCCAGCCTGCAATCATATATCGAACAAGTTCCGTTAACCTACAAATAATAGTTTTGACATACCAACTTTCCACTTTGAGAGATAGAGAGCGCGAGAGAGACCTGAGGAACCCTTATGATTTCACATGGGACCTTCATATCATTACGAGCTTTTTGAGCTCCTTCGTAGTTCATCCAATCTTGGAAACCATATATAAAGGTGGTTGGCACTTTCCATTCTGGCGCACTGCATCCAAAACACATGATGGTGTTATTTCACTACCTCCCATCCCTTCCAAGATGGAAATTGTAAAACCAAAAAATGCCAACACTTAAAATGACTCCTAACTAGTTATTCATCGTTGCCACATTATTTAAGATCGCATAGGTTTATTCTGCATTTGAAAGCATAGATAGCGTCTTGGAATTGGATGTGACTAAATCAGTTCAAACTTTAAACTATTCCCTAACAGTTTCAATTTCAAGGCACGGATCTCATTCTACGAGACAAAGCTTTATAATACTCCATGTAGTACGTCTTTCTTTGGTAATTCCATTCAAACAAGCAAGAGCTCGATTTCAAATAATATTATAGTTGTAACAAAATTATATGAAAGTGCACTTAACACTTCAAGAAACCTTCACATGTTCATGCTCGCATTCATGCTCAATTCTTGGTATGTGTGACATTATTAGAACTTGTTTTCAAAAAAAAAAAAACTGTAACAAAAGCTGTAGTATGTAATTTTTATTTTTATTGCATATTCATTCAAAAGTGGGTTTAGTTAAAGTAAAAACTTCGGATCCATGGACTCTGCACACAAAAGTTTTTGAACATCAAAAGAGTATAGATTAAGTTCACGTTTCGAATTGATCTGTCGTTGGGGAAGTCAATTTGGTTTTCTGATTCCAAGACTAAATCCCTGATTCTTTTAGACTGAATACTATTAAACACCTCCCCTACAGCTCTCAAACTCGTACAGAATACACGATTTCTATAGAAAGGATACATACACACAAACAAATTTACAGAGAGCATATATTCTTCCCCTTTTTTTCTTTTTTTTCCCTGGTTAAGAGGAAAGTTTTATTTGAATATAAACAATATAGTGCAGCAGAGGGACAAGGGCATACCCTTATATATTATTCTTTTCATCGTCTTGCATTAATTTTCCTTTAGTTTTCCAATACAGAGGACATAAATTTTTATTTACAGAGAACATCTTTTTCTACTTCTTTCTTTTAGTATTCCAATTACAGAGAGCACAAATTCAGAGTTGGGCTGCAACTGAACCGAGTCAACCTGAGCTGTCGTATGTTTGAGCTAGACTTGACAAATCAACAGAGGTGCTCAGCCTTGACTCATGTTTTGACAAGTTTGGTCTAGCCAAGCTCAAGCTCAAGCTCGGCTCGTTAGAGCAGGCATGACTCAGCTCGGGCTCGTTTGTCCACACAATCTCAATTCAAATACATCTACTACGCAAAGGCTATACATAAATATACACACAATTTACAAAGGCTAATAATTTTGATCTCAAATTCACATTTGTTGGAGAATATTATAGGAGTGATTTTAGCCTATAATAGAATATTGATTGGAGTGATTTATGGAATTGATTTTAATCCTCCATCAATGTATTTTCCATATTTATCACTTATATTCTTTCACCTATAAATAGAGGTGCTCTTTGAACTTATCAAAAAAGTAATAATAATAAAAAAATAAAAACTTATCAAAAAAAAATAGAGGTGCTCTTTGTAAACAATATTAAGAGAGAATATAATAAAGGTGATGTAGCCCTTTGGCCCTTGTGTGCCTATCCTTGTGTAATTCATTTTTCATTTCTCTCTTTCAATTTTAACAACATTATATACATGCTACAAACACAAGTTCACCTATATAAATTTATATAAAAAATCTATATATTAAAGTACATAAATATATATATGTACATACTCTGAACTATATTACATATAGTTCGTTCATGGATCCCCTCTAGACAAAAAATAATAATAATAATGAGAGGGATTGCGATCACTTATATCAGAGGACCAAGTGATGGAGGACTGAAGGGCGAAAATTACCGTTGAAATGAAAAGGGCCTGAGTGTGCAGAAGAAAGAATTAGCTGAGCACGCTTTTCTCAGATAGAGCATAGTTCGAATAGCTAGTCATAAGGGATTTGTTTTGCAGTGGTCTCATAGTTTGGGAATTCTGCCGTCTGCAAGCCCTTAATCTTCATGCGAAGGCAACACAACCTCCTCAAAAAGGAGACGCTCATTTCAACCCAACTACTCTCACCCTGTCGAGGCCCAGGGTCGTCGTGGTTTCGTCTATCAATCAGTGTAGCCAAAAGAACAAGGGGGTCCTATTTCAAATATAGGAATTGGAAGCTATGGCTAGAATCATAACTTCTTGACTAGCTTCTTTTAGGAGGAACCCAGGCTTTATAAACAAACACGGTGACCAAGAACGAGACGAGATTAGTGTTTCTTAGTAATAGATGCATATTTAGTTGGATTGGTGAAGGGAACAAGTGCCTTTTTCTTGGGCATGTCTTTTTATTCAACATATATGTTTCACATATGGGATTAAATGATTTTATTAAGTCTTATTGGTAAAACATGTTTGGGCTTGGACTTCAAAGGTACCTTGATTAAGGTATTTTCATTCAAATATTCAATCTTTAGACATAAAAACAATCTTGTGACCTCAAAGGGAACTCGATTAAGTTTTAACTCAAAACTCTCATTTTCATTCAAAGATTCAATCTTTATACATTAAAACACTCTAGTGACTTCAAAGGTACCTTGATTAAGGTATTTTCATTCAAAGATTCAATCTTTACACATTAAAACACTCTTGTGACTTCAAAGGGATAAGTAATTATTATTGGGCTATGCTTATATATAATAAGACTAGCCATGAGTAGACAAGCTTGTTCAGGAGTATAACAAGCCAAGCATAACATTTTTAAGACACTTTTTTTTTCACTAAACAAACTCAATCTGAACTCATTCACTCAATAAACAAGCCAAACCAAATTTTAAGAGAGTCGGGCCCAAGTTGTTCATGAACATCCCAAGTCATTTGTAGTCCTAATTTAAAGTGTCGGTTGTCAACACAAAATCAAACAAAGAACTAAAGGATTGGATTGGTAACCAAGGAGATCAATCACAAGGAGGAGCAAATCACATGAAGAACGGATCCATAGATTACAATAATATAATTCATGATACATGTGGCACAAGACTAGATGTGAAGTAACTAGATGATTCTGTGGGGTTTAGAATTTGATCCATAGGGTTTTAGTACTTCTTATCGTAGATTTGAAATGCCTGACCTAGGATCTTATGGATTTTCTGTCGGGGTTTTTAATGTAACTTGTGTTTATGTGTGATTACTTGGTTATTTTATTTTTGCTCTCTATAATTTAAATAATTCATATTGCTACATTTAAAATATAATTGCCAGAATTTAAAATCTGCAGATTCGATGCTTTGATTGATTATTTTTTATGTACTCCTCACATCGAATCTCTTTATTAAATCTACATAAATGGTCTATAGTAAACACTAGATTGAATCTCAAAGCGCTCTCTCTCTCAAATATAAATTATCAAACTAGAGTGTCAAGATCAAAACTCATGCCTAAGACTGACTATAGCTCCATATTTATAGCCACTAAAGAAATAAATTCCATGTGGAATAGGAAAAGATATTCTTTTAAAATTATATTTTGAGAGAGTTTCCAAAAAAGTGTTTTCGAACAAATGCATCAACTGAGACTTCAACTGAGAGCACCTAGTATTGCTTCAAACCATCAACACTTAGATCGAGGGCCACTTTCCAAGTTTCAATGGATCGAGCATTCTATTGAGAAATTTTGTACATCAATAAAATAATAATAATAATCAATTAAGATATCAGTTGAACCTTTTTGTTTTTTGTAAAAATCAATAAGTGATAATTTTGATTTTATTCAATACAAAAACATAGCCTTCTTTGATTTTCTATATAAGCAAAATAAGGATAGGGAGGGTGATGATGAATGGAGTTGGATGGGTTCCCAGCATGATAAATATGTGGTATCTAGTATTATAGGGGTGTTCCAGTGCCGAAGATTTTGATGCCTGCTAATTTGACAAAGAAACAACAAATTGTGATAAATTAGGCTACATGTGCCAGAGTGAGGAGTCGTCAATGAGTCACCTTCTTTGCATTAACCAATGAATAGGGATGTTTGAGCTATGCTTTTTACTATCTTTGGGGTGCAATGGGTTTTGTCGGCTTCCACGACTCGCTTGCTCAATCTTGGAGGGGATGTATTGTGGGAAGACAATTCAAGATGCATGCAGGTAGCTCCTCTTTGTATTTGGTGGGGCTTGTGGTGTGTAAGAAATAGATGGTCCTTCAATGGTGTGGAAGCTACGATACAAGTGGTAAAGCATTGCACTCTGAGTTCTCTATTGTTTAGGATTACAAGGAGGAAATATGTAGAGGACTTGGTAGATTTTGCGGATACCTCGAGATGTTATTCTTTGGTTACGCTCCCCTTTGAGATTTTTTTAATGAAACTTCAATATATAAAAAAAAGGGTTTAAAACAAATATGCTGAGTTTGAGCATGTAAGGATCGCTAGAAATATAATATAGAAGAAAAATGAGAGAATTGTGTAAAGACTTTAATGAGATAAATCATTCATTCACAGCTCTAGTATTTATAGATAAAAAGAGCACATGCTCATATTACAAGAAAGGAAACAAAATCAAATCAAAGCATATTCTAAAGCATATTTTATGGCATATTCTATAGCATAACCAAATCTCTGCTAATATGGTAAGTCATTCCATAAATCGTGGCTATCATATATGCTAACATATGCATAATCAAATCTCTGCTAAGATGATAAGTCATTCAATAAATCGTGGCTATCATATATGCTAACACTCCCCCTCAGGTTGGTGCGTGGATATCTGAAATGCCCAACTTGGACAATGCATTCTCAAACACAATCTTATTGACACCCTTTGTAAGAATGTCTGCAAGCTGCTGAGAGCTTGTGACAAATGAAGTGCAAATTTGACGGTCCACCTCTATATACTTTGTCCTGTCATGCTGAACGGGATTTGCTGCAATGCTAATGGCAGACTTGTTATCATAGTAGAGTGAGAAGGGAAGCAACACTGGAAGGCACAAGTCTGTCATTAAGGTTTTCAGCCATAGCAACTCACATACCCCAAGAGCC